CTTGGCCTGATGGCTGACATTTCTTTTTCTTATTTTAGATGTTCATAATAACTATTTCATGCACATTTCCTTTGTCTCCCTTCCCAAAAACTTATACTTGTTTGGTGCCATTGCTTTGCAACTGGTATATGATATAGTACTTTGTAACATATTTGTCTAATTAAGCTGTAGGATACAGAGATTCTCTTTATATTCACTTCACCCTGGATGCCTAATTTTATGTTCATACTCACTCATTTGGCAACATTTAATTTATCTTAAGCCAGATAAATACATTTTTCCTCCATTATATCTTTCCTGAAAACCTAAATTGCTCACAATGCCCTTTGGCAAGTTAGCCTAGCTCAGGGGAGAACACTGTCAATAATAATACACAAGATGGAGAGTGACATTGAATTACTGCCCAGTCATTGTTTTCACTGTGATATGAGCTAATGAGTTGCACTGGTTTGCATTGTATCCTCTGACAGATTAGACAAGTTGAATAGTAAGCATCAGCCTCCTAGAAAAAAAGATTTTGATGCATAAGGGTGTTAATTAGAGTTAGCACTAATTTCTGCTTCTGTTAACTCTGTTGATAGAGGCAAGGGGAAAAAGAATGACCAAAGAGCATATTGTATATCAGTATATCAAAAAATGTATAATATGATGGCACACATGTTTTGAGCTGCAGGATTTGAATTCTGAACAGTTTCAGAAACATCTGATTCTCCAGTTCTAGATGCTGCTGGCTGATTTACTGGCTTTAGGAAAATTTTTATACTCCTCCTCTTCAAGTCAGCTGAACCTCACAATTACATGGAATTGCCAACACTGTTTGTGTAATGTAAAGATGTAACAAAATGAACAGAAAATGAAAATGCAAACAGTAGATAAAATTATTGCTTTTTCAGCAAACTAGAATGCATTTAAAAGACCAAAAGAGCAGAAAAAGATCTAAAAGCTGTAGTAAATACACAGATCCAGGCTAAGAATATCATGATATGCTGCAAAACTTTATTTTTACTGTGGCATATTCATTATGCTTGTAGAGCTGTATGTAGCAGAAGCAGTAAAATAATAGAACTATTTAAGAAACTGTACTGGAAATATGGCAGACTAGAAAGAGAAAACTTTAAGTAATATATACCAAGTTTGTACATACTTACTTTATTTCTTAATCAGCATTTACTTTTTCTTTTCCTTAATACTTTTCTGTAATCTGAAATAGCATCAAATGCTTGTGGGAGCCAAGTTGAACAGATCACCTCCTACTTGAAATGCTGACATGGATATCTTGTTCCTGTTCCCAGCAGCACAAAACAGGCTCTCCAGAAGTGATGTGGGGTAACTGAATTTGTAGCAGATAAGATCAAAGGCAGTGGTTACTTTACGAAAGTCAGTCGTTTCTTTTATACTGCCACTGCATTTTGTGGATTAGGTTAACCTTTTGAAGTATGAGGAATGTGTTCATTGATCAATTAAATATCTTTTTAAAGCAAAACACTCTGAAAGCATGTGACCACCTAGCCCCAGAAGACAAGACCTCATTCAATGCAGTGTTGATTGCTGATATGATACTCATAATAAAGCACTTTACAGACACTTCTAGAAGAGGATGATGTCTTTAGTTGAAAGGAAACAACTCTTAAGTCACAAAGACAAGAACATTATTTTTTTTCTCCCATGTTGGAGTTACAATTACGTCGCATGATTGAAATGGTCACTGCATAGGGTTAATAGAAGTTTGTAGGCAAAATGTGAAAATTAGTTGAGCATAATTATTTTTATTTATCTAGGGTTTTTTTAAAGAGCAAGTAAATAGCCGTGTTATATGGAAATCTTTTCATGTGAGAAATAAAGCTGTGAAAAGGAATGCAGAAGTTTCTCAAATAAAGCACTCTCCCACACTGGGAGCTGAACAGATCACTGCTGTAATGAGGTATCTAAATTCAGTCATCACTTGAAGATCATCACTTAGATGTAGCCTAAAAACCAGTGAAATCATCTGAGGGGTCACCAGCAGATGACCTGAGACCTCCTTCACTGAAAATCTAAGAATGGTGGTGACTAATATGGTGTAACATGATGGAGACAAATACAATGATATTGGTAGAGAGGAAAATCAGGAAACTTTTATTTTATGTTTTTGCAAAGCCCACTTGCAGACGATGTGCTGCCTAACTTTTAGGGTTTATTTCCTGTTTAGAACCAGTGGATTCAGCCTTGAAATGGCTGTTGAACAACACTTGATATCAGTCTGCTGGTAACTGTGGGAGAGCAAAACCTTTATTTTGAGGAAGTGATCTCACGTGCTATTTTTGAGTTAACATGAGAGCATGATTGTGTTTCAGTAAGGATATTTAAGGCCAGATGTCTGTGAAGCTTATTTCATTAGGATGATGAACTTAGAGGAGGACTGTAGAAGTAGGTGGTGATGGTGAATTTTGAGCTCAGGAAGCAGCTGATGTTTGAAGACCATCAGGGTATTTATTTTAGAAACATAATATGAAGAAACAAGTCTCCAATATGTAAAGCTCCAACCATGAAAACCTGATGATATTTCTCTGCTAACCTAGGCAGAAATGCTTTTGCTTCCTTCCTGAGAAACAAATCTGCCTATGACTGTGAATACTGACCCTTTATTAAAACTATCACAAGAAAATTTTTGATTGTGGCTCATATATGTGGGAGAAAAGTAGCAGAACACCTTGAATTGTTAATTATGCCACTAATCTTCGAGTGACATCTCTCTATAGGCTGATAAAGATTCTTAATTGCGTTTTTGCTCACATTTTCTTTTACATGAGAAGGCATCATATTTCTAAAGGTTTTTAAGTCTTGCATTTCATGTGGTTAAAAAGCTTTATAAAGTATCAATGGCAATTCTGAATGTTACAGCTTACCTTGTTATGGCCAATTATTCTTTCAGAATGCTAACAAGTACTTGGAAATCCATCATTACCCTACCCTTGGTTTTGATCAATTACCTTTAAAATAAAAGTGTGGATAAGGACTAACTTCTGCAAGTTTTAATTTTTGTCTTCAGTGCAACCACTCTAAAGTCACAACACTTGCGCAAGAGTTACTGCTGGTGGGATCTAGCCTGTTCTTTGGTTAATAAAGCATCGTCCACTGTGGTGTCGAATGCAGGAAATGTAGGATGTGGTTGCAGAAATTGTATGACTGACATTTTCCCCCTTAAAAAAAATAAATTTTTTTGGCTCTTCTAAATGTTGTAAGGCAATCGTAAAAAAACCCACAAAAAAACAAACCAAAAATGCAATGTTAGACCTAGTTTCTCTGAGAACTGTAAGATGGAGACAAAAGAACTTGAGTCTGATTGGAGTTGCAATTTTTATGTGTTTTCATTTTTGCGATTATACCTTAGCAGTAGAAGAACTGTGCTTTGTAGGAAAACTCATGCATCAGTTGACCTCCAGAAATACTAGATTTTTCCATCTTGAAGCAAGAGAAAGTTATTCAGTAGCCAAACTTATATTTTCCCCAACAGTAAGAAAATTTCTGGCTATTAAAAATTTCTTCTGTTTCCAGTGGAAGGAGTTGTATGTTTAGGATTTTCCACTTGCGCATTTACAGTATCACTAAGAGCTCCAGATTTGTTTTGCTTGTGAGGGAGTGCTTGTACCCCTTCATAGAGGGACCTGTGCTTCTGCAGAACATAGAATTAAGAGCCCTGAGAATTTCAGCTTTTAATAATCTTTAAAAGAGGTGACTTTGAAGCAGAAGAAAACATGACTGATGTAAATAGTAAAATGTACTTGTAAGTCACTAGCACTCCATGCTGAAGTCTCCTTCTGTTAGGCTAATAATAACATCAGTTTCATTAACCACTGTACTTTCCATATGCCTTGAATTTTCCTTAAGCACTGTGATAAATACGGAGGAACAATGGGGTGAATGTTTCTTTGTGTTTGATGTTAACTTTTATTCTGAGTGATTTCCAAAATACATCAACACAGTTCAGTACTGTTCAGTTCCCCTAATGGGAATAAAAAGGTGTGCAAGGTCAGAATGATTGGAATGGGTTACCAGAAGGAAACAGGAAAACCTGGTAACCTCGACATGATTTTTGATTCTTACCTGGTAGGTAATCTGACTTCATACATACTTTAGGATTAAAAGGTTATGCATTTTATCACCCAAATATAAAAATGTTTACATGGTCTGAGTGGAGGCTTGGTGTTGGACGAGGCAAGTAGACAACAATTATTTCCCCAAGTTCCTCAGGGCTTGTGGTCCAGTGCTGAAGGAAGTTCCAGCTTCTCTAAATCACTCCTGGTTGCTTCTTGCTAATTACAATTTAGAACTGTGCTTTCTTACTTTAGACATCTCTATTGTAACAGAATTTCCAATTTTTTGCACTCAAGTGTTTACCATATTATCTTTTTAATCCAGTTTCATAATATGTGTTGCTTCCATTTACACGTTTCTGAGATGTAAAATTAACTCGAGAAAATCTAATAGGCACAAATAAAATATGAGGAGTTGGTAAAGGTTAGGTGATATTGCAGATTAATTTCCTGAAGCAACCCAGGGAATTTGAAGATCCAGTTAGAGATTGATGGGCCCAGGAACAAGACTTGACCTTCCATAGTTGTATGACTGAGCAAGATAAGAGGCTTGCTGAATTCACTTCTTATAATAAGCATCCATTAGCTGTCAGAGCAAAAAATTACCAGGACCTTTAATATTCTTCACTAACAAAATTTTGTTCGGATGGGGTCCCATGGCAGAATGTTTCAGATGCATAAATTAGTGGTTAAAATCCCTTTCCGTGTATAACACAAGACTGGACAATGGATGCTCATTATTGTTTACTTAAATTATTTCACTTGCATTTCATGGTCATTAACTCCAAAGTTGCATATGATTTTCCTAAAAGAAATTATCTTTTTATAAAAAACAAAAAATCCTCAAATGCCATAAGCAGAGAAGAAACCAGATATAAATAATAAAAAAGATAAGAAACGTTAGTGAAACGAGCACATAATCTCAAGTTCAAAGTATAGGAGTGTCATTTTCTAGTAGTGAGTTCTCTAAGGCTGTTAAGTCATGAACCTCCTACGTGTTTTTGTAGTAATAGCGTTATGATGCAATTACTTCATACTGGGAAAAAAACAATTACTGAACCATAATCCCTGCTAAAAAGATCTATTATGATTTTCCTTGTTTGAAGTTGAAACTTGACCTTGTAAATATCTGGATTTATAAAAGGAGAATTGTTCCACACTTTTTATTGATTGTGGATTTTTCCTAGTGATATGCCAGATACCTGGCACCAAAGAGTAAAATTTGATTTTATTGTTTTTCTGATGAAAAATAAATGGGAAAACTTTAAAATAATATTTTTGTTGGCTATTTTTTGAAAGATAAAGAATGTGGTAAAGCAAAGAGAGTGCATGCACCATGCTGACCTATTTAGTCTGTATTTCATCTTGCTGTGATAATCCTGGATTATATTCTGTAATTCTGCTAAAAGTATTTACAAGAAGATGTGGTCTTTTTTTTAAATTTTCTTAAAATGGTTTGAAAGTAAAACTATTCTAATAGCATCAGATAGTCCAGAGTTTTAAAACTTGTACTTTGAGAATAGTAACAGTTGACAGAAGAGTTGACTTTTCAAAAGTGGAAAAAAATGAGTCAGATGTTTTCAAGGTGGAATAGTCCAGAAAATTGAAAAATTGTGGAAATTGTTCAGATGGAGGCAACAGAGCTTGCAGGCCTCCCCCAGTGCTTTCTTTTGTCCTGTAGTAAGCACCTTTACCTCTTGTAACCACAGTAGCCCCCTTGCCTGATATGAGCGATTAACAGGCTTGTTTGCAACTAGATTGGAGGGTAAGATCACACTGTCGCTTCCTTGTGGTTGATTTGACAGCACTGCAGTAAAACAGCTTTTGCTGTGTGAGATGTTTGTTTTCTGTCTATAACTGTTTTTCCTTTCCTTCTCAGCAAGGAAAAGCCTCTTGCTTATGTTCACAGAAACATGCTTTAATGTTTAATTAGTAATGAATTAAATGTTTCCGAATTCAAACATGTCCATGAAAGACATTATTTTTAAGGTCCTCTAAACAGTTCCCCACACTTCCCAGGTTGTGCTTGAGGAAAGAAGAAAAGATTTTGTGCATGTATACTTGCATTTTCTATAATTTTGAGTTGAAATAGCAACTTTGGAACTTGACCAGTTAAATATTAGACACTACACTGTTGTGCCAGTGCACAGTGGCACTACCTCCTGCTGCGCATTGAGACTAGGCATTTTTGGGTAAAGAGGACACTGATGTTCTAATTTCCCATTCCGCTGTGTGCAGTAATGAATTTTCAGTATGCTACTGAAAGGTCTAGGAAAATTGGAAGGCAGAAACTGGCAGGTAAATGTGGTAAATTTATTTTGGCCTTACTGTTGGCTAAAGGAGAGCTTGAAAAGTCAGAGCCTGCTAGACTGAGCTTCCTGGCAAGAAGAACTGATCTACCTCATACCTTTGGAAAAAGCACTCTGTATGACTAGATGTGATACAAAAATCTTTCTCCTTGCATCTGGGAAATCATTTGCAGCCTGTTACTATCGGTCTGGAGACTGGAATGTTCATGCTTCTGCAACTGATTTGCATACTGTGCCAAAGCACAATAACTAAGGTTAACAGAGAAAACCACCAGTGATAGTCATCCTTTTTTTGTTCCAAACCTGGTGATTACCTAGGCTTACAGTGGACTTTGTCTTTTTATACTTCAATTTCTTTTTTTATCATTTTTCCTTTCCATTTCCTTGGTACCTGTGTGTCCCAGATGAACCTTGACTTCTTGCTTCTGTTGGACTGTGGATGAAGACCTTGCAAAGAGGTTTTCTTGTGTTTTGTGGCAACCACACAAGCTGCATGGCAGAATAATACTTTCAAAAGGTTCAAAACAAGCTTGCTCTGTTTTTTTCATTTTAGTTTTATAGATTACTCTTGTTAATCTAATGATAGTACTACATCTTAAATTTTTTTTGCAGTGTCTAGTATCTATTGCTGTGGTGCAAGAGCAGTGTGATCTTATGACTGGTGAAGTAACTGTTATTTCAGTAATATTTTAGTTTATTTGAAGGAATCAGGGAGACCAAATTGGCTGGAGAAAGTAAGTTACAAGTCATTCTGAACAGGAAATTAAGGAGAAAAAAGCACCCCACTGTTAAAGTAATAACTCGCTGTGAGCCAGCATTGAAGTGCAGTAAATAGGAAAAATGTGTTTTGGCACTTCTACATACTTATAATTTGACCTGTGTATTAACTTCATTTATGAATTTCACATACTAAATATGCTTGCACAGTTCTGAATAAACAGTAACATCAGTCTGCTAGGGTAGTACTGAGCAGAAATTGTCATCAGAGGTTCTTTTTTATAATGGATATAGTTTTTACCAGGTGATGTAATTTTTTCTAATTAACAAAGAAAAAACCCACATAGTTTCTCAAAGGGGGGAAAGGATTTATAGATATGAGGTATTTAATTTTTAGTTTGTGCTTCTGGTGTGGTGAAAAAAATGGTCTTTTGCCATCCTTTCTATTGTTTTCCAGCATGAGAAAATTTTTAATTCTCTACTTAGGATAGTTAAGCATTCAATTTGGCTTAACATTGTCCTAATAGGCAACGTCGTCCTAATTCTACAAAGATGGGGTAGACTTAACGTTCTCTTTCAGCTGTGTTTTAGAGTGCAGAAATTAAAAGTGATATAGATTATATCTACTTGGGTAGCTCTCTTTCCTTCATGATCCAGCACGAAAGTTGAGTTCAGCTGGTCAAGTTGCGGTAACAGTTCTTGACGGTAAATATCTGGGGTCTGCTGGGGGACCTTTATGTTGTTGGATGGTGGAGCTGGCTTCCTCCCTCTTTTCACAGATGCGGAATCAGTTGACCTTCCAGGGATAGTCCATTTTTTCACTTCACCTGCTGTCTGGAAGAGTCAACTTCTGTTGAAGATAAGCATAACGTTAAAATCACATCTTAATGCTAAATATTGAACTTTTGATTTTTATAGTTCTTACAAAAGAAATTTATTTCTGTAGTGGGTTGACCCTGGCTGGATACCAGGTACCCACTCTCTCACTCTCCCTCTGCAACTGGGCAAAGGAGAGAGAAGAAAAAAAAAAAACAGCTAAGGATTCATGAGTAGAGATAAGAGCTGTGAGAGGTCAGTTACTGGTTACCTTCATGGGCAAAACAGACTCAAAGTGGGGATGGTACTTAAGTTTATTACTAACAAGATAAGAGCCAAAGAGTGAGAAATAAAAGAGTCTTAAAAACACCTTTCCCCCATCCCTCCTTCCGTGTTTTCCTGGGGAATGGGGATTACGATCAGTTGTTGTTTCTGCCGCTGTTCAGGAGTCCTTTCCCTGCTCCCATGGGATCCCTCCCATGGGAGACAGTCCATGATGGACCCCTCCGGCGTGAGTCCATCCCTCAGGCAGCAGTTCTTCCCAACCTGCTGTCCTGTGGGTCACTCCTCCATGGGGTGCAGTCCTTCACCAATGAACTGTACTGACGTGGGTCTCCCACAGGGGCCACAAGTCCCACCTGGGAAAAACCTGTTCCAGTGTGGGCTCTGCTCTCTAACAGGCTGCAGGTCTCCGGCAGGGCCCTGCTCCATCTTGGGCTTCCCATGGGGTCACAGTCTGCTTCATGCATCCACCTACTCCAGCATGGGATCCTCCATGGGCTGCAGGGGCACAGCTGCTCCACCATGGTCTGCACCATGGGCTGCAGGGGCCTCAGCTCCAGCACCTGGAGTACCTCCTGCCATTCCTTCTGCACTGACCTTGGTGTCTGCCTTGTTCCCATGTTCTCATTCCTCTCTTACTTGGCTGGAATTTCTTCTGTGCAACAACCTTCTGTTCTTAAATATGTTATCACAGAGGTGTTACTATCTCTTCTGATTGACTCGGCCTTGGCCAGTGGCAGGAAGCCCGTCCTGGAGCCAGCCGGCATTGGCTCCATCGGACAGGGGAAGCTTCTGGCAGCTTCTAACAGAAGCCCCCCTGGTAGCCCCCCCGCTACCAAAACCCAGCCACAGAAACCCACTACAATTTCATAGCTTGTCTTCATCTGTAGTGATCATGGAGGCCTGCATTTTTTTCCTGTTAGTGTTTTTATTTTAGCCTTAGAAACATAATTCTGTTGGAAGACTACTTGAAGCTATTGCAGGTGCTCATTGTAATACCCGGCTGCTTAGTGAGAAGTAGCAGTATTGTACTAGTGGTGAGAACTACCAATATTCAACTGCTACCAATTACATCCTTTACCTAAGGTCATCATTTAGGTGATTTGAATTAGAATTTAAATACTAATAAAACCAAAAGAACTTTTTGGAAGAGTACACCTCAGGGGCTGGGGGTTAAGTTTGAGGGAGTATGAATCAGGAAGCTGACCTGCCTGGGAGAACACGGCCCTGTTATTCATGCTGCATAGCTTTAAGATTTCTTTTGCTAGCAATGTGCTTCCTGATGCCAGTTCTGGTTCTGGAAGCTCTATAATGAGATGCCTCTTAAAAGTAGCTATGTAACAAGACAGAATCCCTCAGTGTTTTCCAGTTTCTCATCCCTGGAAGGGAAAAGTTGATGCTGGTTATTTTTACTTCTCTCTCATTTATTGATATGCTGAATCCATTTTCTTGGTGGAAACACATATTGCATTCTGGCATTGCTACCTTGCATATGGCTCAAGAGGCTCAGATCAGGTTCCCGAACATGGAATTAATCTCATTCTGTGGCTATTTCAGCATCTCTTCCATCATCCTGAACTGTATGAGACCCATGCCAGGTTTCCACTGTATTAAAACTTAAGAGTCTAATAATATTAACCCTGCCACCCAGCTTTCTACATGAAAGATGTTGAACAGTGGGTTTTTTTATTGTTTCTAGAAAATGAGAGACAGTGAGTGTTATTAGGTGCTATTAGGTGCTAATAGTTAATGGTTATGAGAGGGTTTAGGGATTTATTTAAAAGTACATTTAAATCATGTTACTTATTTTCTTCACAAAGTCAGTCCCTACTGAAATAACACTGGATGCTGGCAATTGCCCTCAAAGTAAAACTTTAGGAAGAATTTTTTTTAACCACTATTTGGTCGTTTGACATATTTAATAGATGAACAGCATTAAGATTGGTAAAAGAGAAGGTGAATTTATTCAATTAAAATGAGTTGTCATTTTTTCACAGGAGAATTTTAAGACTTTTTTTCCTAAGATTTAAATATTATATTGATACACAAATAACACTGAAGTGTTGCTATTTTTGTTTGTTTGTTTTTGTTTTTGTTTTAATCAGACTACTGAATCAATCTTGCTTGCTTTGGCACCCAAATTTTAGGTACTCAAATGACAGGCTTAAAAATATTGAAGATTAAATCTTCCAAGATTGTTTTCAAATCCTGCTTTCTTCTTGGTTGCTGTAGCAGATTCCAAACATGACTTCTCTACATTATTAACTCTATATATCAATTAACTGTTTATCTGCAAAAATGTACAGGTACAAATTCTGATAACGTGACATCAGTTGATATTAGTCACCTCAGATGTTACCTGCTCCCTTTCTGCTAATGAAAAAGGTAAACTTATGTGAACTAGCAGTTGATCGGAAGTAGGTGACTATGTAACTATGTTGCTTATTTATGTTGTTTCAGTTGTTATAGAAAGTTCGCATGCTTCACTTAAGAGGACGGGCAGCTCTGCAGCTTAAATCCTCTTGCTGATGTCTGCTGTGCTCCTTTCTGTTGAGCTGGGATACCTCCATTTTACCTATTTTTTTTGCATATTATTTTGGTAGCAGTTAAGCAACAATTAAGGAGTGCATTCCTAAGCCTTCTCTCTCCTGTCTTTATTATAATAATTTGTGTTTAAGCATGGATGTACAATAAAACTACCCAATTCAGTATCCAGGGATCATGGTGGTTCCCTACATACTTCTGAATCCTCTTTTCCTGTAATGGAGGAGAGCATTTGTTCCCCAAAAGAGCAGTTGTAACGTAGATGTTCTCATTTTCACTGCTGCTGCTTTACTGTGTTAAATGTCTATGAAGACTGTATAGCTGATTATTCAGACAAATATAAATGGTACACAAAGATAATGGTCTGCTGTTATGGAAGAAACACACCTTTGGAATCACACAGTGTGAAAAATAATTCACAACAAATGTAACAGAAAGAGAGGAACTCCTGAAAAATACTCATAAGGGAAGATGTCTCTCTGCTAGGTCTCTGGTTTGGACATGCAAAGCCCCCATGGGTGCCACCTGTACAGGGAGAATTCTGTCAGGAAGCATTTTGGTTGCCTCCTTGCTGTTTGTCTCCTGTATTCTACAACAGAAGTGGGAGCTGAAGGACTTGAAACTGAAGTTTCTAACTTCAATCTCTTTCACTACTGGGGAGATATAACTCCTCTTGCTCCACAGCTGTCAACTCAAAAGATTTTAATTTTCATCTGTAGTATTACACTGACATAAAAATATGATTTAAATATAGTATTGAAGTCTGTGGTAGGTTTATACTTGTCACTGCTTTTTACTGTCTTAGTCATCACTCATAGCTGCTTCAAAAGGCCACTACTAAAAATCGATGCTATTATTTTTCACTTTATATATAACTCTTGTTCTGAAGCATCACAGCTTGTCACTGTGGTTTTCAGTGGCTATAACTGAAAGCCAAAGCTAAACCTTTGTTTCTGCAGAAGTCAGATGCTGTGAATTTGGATTCTCATGTTACCCCTCCTGGGTACTCCCTCTAGGTCATCAGGCCCGTATCTTTGGGTTTGGTGGTCCTTTTGAAAATGCCAAAGCGTTTTAGGATGCTTGTCATACCATGGCCATGGGAGTGAGATTTTGCCTCTGGATAGTTTGATCTTTGTGGCTGCACAGCTGTTGTTACAATGACGGTGGTACTTTCCTCTTTGGAATCACAGTCAGCTCCCAGACCGTTATATTTATATAAATAAAGTATCTGTTATATAAATAAAATATCTGTCTTAATCTCACAGAGGTTAACGGAAGTGTTTGACTGTAGGATCTTTTGTTTGGACTATAAACTTTTAAGAAAATAGAAGTATACAAGGTTTTAATTGTTCATATTAATATTAACTGAGATTATTTGAATTGTTTGGTATTTAGTGTAGTCATTAAATAAATGCTTATGCTTCACAGGGGTGCAACATGTTTGGGAAACTCTCATGTCATTGAAGTTTAAGGGGTTAAATGTAAAACTGATGAACTCTAATACGAATTGAGTCATGAATATCTTACCTTTCTGTTGCATTTGTCACACGAATATGATATGTGACGCTTCCTTGTTTTTCATTTGAGATCAGAATTCTGCGTTTTTCTTAATATGTCTTTCTCTAAAGACCAGCTCAATAGACTGTGACTGAAGTCAGCTCTAAATCTGCCCTGCAGTAACGTTCATTGTTAAGCCTCAGATGATTGAATTGACAGCTGCCACCCAGAAGAAATTTCTGTTGTGCTTTTAAATCTGTAATGTTTTACAAACATTTGCACATTGAAGTCTTCTCTGTATTTCAGACCATTCCTCAAGTGATGCATCGAGGGTGTTGACCCATAAAGATCTTTTCTTTGTGATGGGCAAACCATTTAGTGCCAAACAAGTTAGAGAAGAACAGTTCAAAAGTAATAACAACAGCATGGCTTCATCTTAGTCTACATGATGAATGTGTTGTATGTGTCATGTGAAATTATTGCTGGGAGCTGCTGCAGAAGAGGAAAAACGCAGCTGACTGCTTAGTGTGTTCCTTATGCAGTGACGTGGAGGGTAAGAGCCTGTACTGATGCAGAAGCTGCCCTTATCAAAGAAGAAAATAGTTTTAAAAACGTATGAATCTTCCTAATTTTTTTTATGGGAGAGCATAAGGAAAAACTGAGTTGTGCCTGGAGTGTGATAGTCCATTTATTTTCATCATTCTTGGCCTGGTTTGTTGTTTTTTTTTTTTTTTTTTTTTTTTACTTCTGTTGAATAGTGATGTGAATCTCTCAGTTTCAGTGGTGATTTAACTTTGGCAAAGGAATTGCATGGATGCAAGGCACACCTATTTGTTATTATTTAAATATTTGTATTACAGTGCCACTTCAGTAGGTGGGAGGGGAGGATACATCTGTCCTCTGCATGAAGGAAACAAAGTGCTTGGGAATGTGTGGACTGATGGGATAAAAAGAGAACTAGAAAGATTTGGCAGCCTATTGATTTAAATCATACTTATGAATATCCAGTTTTTGAACCAAGGTATCTTTCTTAAATGAAAACAGAAGTATATACTTTGTAAAATTTTAACTCTCTAACTTACTGTTTCTGTGTATTTTGACATCTGAAAGCTCTGTTGATAGATACTGTTTATTACACTGTTTATCTGCAATCATTGCAGAAGATAAATAGCTTGCATTGATACACAAATTCACATACACAGCATGTGGAGTACCATTACATGTTTATTTGTAACTTTAAAATGTCTCTTACAAGAGACTGTATGACGTGCTAAAACTGTTTAGATGAAATGGTAGTTGTGCATAGTTGAGCTTTTCACCGGCAGCTCACTGAAGTGCACCCAGCCAGGACCTGATGAATCTCCAGGCCCCAAGGGCACTGCCAGTCCTGACGGTCTACCCGCACTAGGACTCCTCCGTGTGCCCATGGCCAAGGCCCCATGGCAGCTCCTGCCCCAGGACTGCACAACAGGGCCAGTCTCCAGATCCCTGACCTGCTGCCCCTTCCATGGGGAACTCCTGATACCCTCAGCA